TAATCATTTATTGTATAATAAAGAAAATAGATAAGGATAAATAAATAATTGATAACATTGAATATTATAATACTGATTTATATTGTACTGTATGTAATATGATCAGTCAGTCTAAAACGTAGGATCAGGCACATATATGCATCGGTCCAAGTTGCCATACCGCATTAGCACAGCAAGATGAACATCGGGTTCATAAGAGTAGTTAAGTCAAGGGTGGTAATATATAAAAGGATATACTACAGGAAGAAAGATTTAGTACGTTGAAAGAATGATATGAAGTGATTTTAATCTCTTGGTTTAAGGGAAGAGAGAGAGAGTATATAATGTAATATGATGCCTTTATATATATCAGAATTGTGTAACTTTTAAAACTCTAATCCATTAATGTGATACGTAAATGTATACTGGTTCATTCTGTATAGATTGTTTTGTTTAATTCATTGAGTGAAATTATTAATATTATTAACATTGATTAGTTGTAGTTGAAGATAATAATAAGAAATACACGGCTGTGATTTTTCTTTATCTCCCTTTAATTTTTGAGCTTTAATAATGTTCATTCTTATCAATCCATACTGCCAGCCATCACAATGTCTCTGATGATTATAATTTTTTGTGACTTGTACAATGAAAGGTCGGAAACTTTCCATATACGCGCCTGAATAGGTTATGCGATTCATAGACATAATGATATGTTAAAACAAATAAAAAGACAAATCAATTGTTGAAATATCTAGATGGTTGGAACAGGTAACCTAGATATTTAAGCAAGCTGCCAAGTATAATACACAATTAAAATATTCTCTTGATTGATTTATTTGTCCATTTCAATGAATTATTTTAAACGTATTGATTCTCTTTTAAATTGGTTGCCTGTATAGTCTATATGACACACTGTCATGTGTATAAAACCAATCGATTGTGAAATGGATGTAATCCCACAGGCTAAAATCAATTTGAACATTGTTCTCCTGTTTATTTTATTTACCTCATATACATACATACATTCTGGTACAACAAAGTTATCGAAAAAAGAAAGTATGCACCATAAAAATAAACGAGAAATAAAAGAGAGAAGGGTAATATAATCAGTAAATAAATGAATAATATTGTATTTTTAATAGGAGATTCAGTAAGATTGCCATTAACTTCTCTTCTGTATCATATCTAACAACATTTCAAGCTATCTTTAGGACTTCAATTGAGGAGTCGTGATCACAACTGAGTTATTAGTTAATCATATATAAAGTACATTTATTATGGAGCGGTTGTTAATTGCGTCCGCTTTTCAACAATTAAATCCCTGTCTCGAACCATGATCCACTTATTTTGGTTAAGGTAACTAGGTAGCATCATTAGCTTTCATGCTTAAAATATGACTTATATCCAAGTACTTGGTGAATGAGTTAATTGTAATAGCAGGTGCCAGTCCTGAACAACACACTTTTATACCACGGCACTTTGTCATAAACTGATCACCTCCACTTTTCCCAAAGTTTCAGAGTCAGCGAATAATGCGCAAAGTGCAAGTCACTGGGACAACATTTATAAGACATGTCTAAGTCACCGAATCTGATGTTTTAAGATGGTGGAACCAAATGAGTTGTAACTGCGACCGAAAACACCTCATTACTGATATGATTTTCCTGCTAAACGTCAGCAATCCTTCAGAGACGACGATGACCAAATACAGATAATAAACGGCATTCGCAATTTAGATACCGGGTTTCATAAACATAAGAGTGAGTTACTCTAAAAAAAACTCGTTGTAAACTCGACCATTTACAGCAAGATTAACATCGTGACGCCTCTAATTATGTCCTGCGCTGACATAAGCCACAACGCCTTTTACTACACGTAGATAAATATGATTATTCCCGCCACCACCAGCACTCATACCATCCAGCAACATGAAATATTCAATTGTTTTTGACTACTCACCATAAAAAGTGGATGTAGGCACAGATCCCGCCAGTTTCCCAGAAGTACTTTCCATTTAGGTACAAAACACATGTCATACAGATACTAAATATACGAGGTATCTAGACATGTACATGATGGCATACACTATTAACTTTTTTTCGAGCTTGGACATTTAGGTATCACAAGTTTGATAGACAGATTACGCCTAGATCTAATTCACAAACAAAAATTTTTTCCGTGTAACCAAATCTTTTTTAAAGCATTTGTACCCTGTTCAGTTTTTTTTTCTCCCTTCACTATGAAAACATCATAGCAGACAATATGTTTATTTCGAAACAAATTAAGTTAAATGTATTAGGGATAGAGGTTTTTTTCGTTAAATCATGATTTTAGTTAAAGTGCTTTTTCTTTGAACTTTTTGTTATTTCCAGTTTCCATTGTTTGTTTCCCTTTTTACTTTCAAATGACAGGAAATTACAACCAGATCCACCTACACGTACAATGATCTTATCACATGATCTCGATACAGCTGCCTTACTTGCTAATCATAGTAACAGTAACATTAATTCTAACATGAATTTAAGTTTTAACCAAATTTTAAATGGTGGAAATAATATATCAGATTCTACACAAGAACATTCTCACTGTTTAACTACGAGATTGTCAGTTCCATCAGATTTCAATAATAATTTACCGTCACCCCTATTACCTATATCATCAAACTTCAACTGGGGTGCATTGAACAACAGTCAAGAATGGCTGAGATTGGCTAATCTTGGTTGTGATAACTTATCACCATCATCATTAACAGCATTTTGTGAATTATGGCAATTATCTGATCAAGAATTTCGGAAAAATAATTTATTTCTAGCCGCTCAATTAGTTAAAGCTCATCAACATTTAAACAATCTTACATTATCTACAGATAACGATGCAATTAATACAAAGGTAAGTTTACTTGTTATTGGTAGTTGATTTCATGAGTCAATTCAAGCTAGGCCACCATGAAGTATGGAAGTCCTCAACAGTGGGCATCCACGCTCGCGGGATTCGAACCCAGGACCTTCGGTTCCACACGCGAGCGCTTAACATATAGACCACTGAGCCGGCATCCAACGGTGTTAATGTCTACCTTCAACCAATCCACGAAATTGCGCCACTGTCTTCAGTGAGTTATCACACAACAGACCCGGTGGTACTCCACTGGTCACGGCTTCTCACTACAACTTCAGGAAATAGCTCTTGAAGCCAGTCACTAGTGATTGCAATTTAATAGTTGAGTTCATGAGTCAATTTATTTTTGTCAGTCGTTATCAACATACAACCTAGTACAATGCGCCAGTTATAGCTCAGGTCAAAATATTTTTTTAATCCTTAACCACCGCCTAATTCGTCGCGCAATATATGCGGATGTATGAATAAGCTAGAGGGAAACTAAAGGTGACTAATCAAAGGCGTGGAACCATCTACTGTTGAAATGAACTATGTTAATAGGTGGTCAACTGGTCGAAATCCGCGCAATTACTGTGAACAATGATTGGAGATACTGGATGACAGCTCACGATGGTATAGGTGCATATAATGCTCCTCCGAAATCCTGAGTATTAATATCTTAAAAACCCTCTATTTTGTTCATTTTCTTCTTGTCATATCACCTCTATTTCTAGTCTTTTTTATTTCTGCCACCGCCGCAACGATTACTACTTTTACTGTTATCCCGTCATCTGTTTTGAAAATTGTATCTCGCAGCGATTTAGTGGCAATTTCGCTAGGTCTGCGTATGTCCCAAATCCTACGGCGCTTATGACTGATCTGACCAAAAAATGCTTAAGTACTTAGTGTTGATAACATAACAAACTATCTGATATTATTCAGCGTTCTGAACCAGAGGAGCTTCAACAATACAAGTTATCCAATTTGGCTCGTCTGGGACTTGAGACAGTTTGACCAACTAAGACATAATATTTAGAATGGTGACGAATTGACTGTTGAGAGGCGAATATTCACCCACTGAAATGGTTAGTATGTCTAAACACCGCCTACTTTGACGACCGGATGTAGGAGTGACCTGGGAGAATGATACCACTGACTGCTGATTCGAGTTAATTTAGTAGGTTTAGACTACTCAGCGTTCACTAGTTCAAGATGTCAATTGAAACACATCAGAACCGGTCACAATAGCGCGAATGCATCTTATCCGTCTTACGTTAGATTTCGAATTTCAGTATTCTTTCATATGTAATTTTAATAGAAAGCCTTTCTCTTGCTACGAGATTATTTTGATCTCTGTTGTTAGCGACTTTTGTGTTAGACTCTACATTTGATTACCATTGAGTAAAAATGTTCCTTACAGATATGAAAATTAATTCCTAGTTGTTAAACTGACTATTCATTTAATTAATTATTTTTGCATAATCTAACTACTCTTTTTATCACAATTTAAACTCATTGTTTAGAATGAAAACATAGAAATCTCCACACACGAAGAATCTCTTTCTACATCTGATAGCCCAACTGATTTAAGCGCCACTAGAAATATTAGTGATTTCCCACTAAACCGAAAACATCGACACACAGATCAATTATCTATATCACCCATATCAATTTCAAGTGCATTATCACCGCCATTTTGGGCATCAAAATGTTCTCGATCTCCAGTAGAAGGAGAACAAGAACAAGCCGATAAACATAAAGAAACCACTGTGAAAAATCACTTTTTCGTAAATCCAACCACCTTTTATGCAATGCAATCCTAGATTTTATTATTATTATTATCATAAAGACTATGATTTACTACCATTATTGCTCTTTCCCTTTTATTCTAATAAAACACATTTTAAAGAAAACATTAAAAATCATTATAAGACAAATACCCCCCCTCCTAGATCTGATAAAACAATTAATAAGACAAACAATAATAATAACCGACCAATACAAACGCTATGCATACAAGAAACGCTATAATAATATACTAGAGTTAAATATTATTACTATTATTATTATTATTTCTACTATGTACAAGAATCATTCTTCAATATGAGAATATGTTTACAACAAAAAGTAATGGTTTTTTTGTTGAAAATTCTTGGTATAATTTATATAGATATTGTTTATTCACAGATAATAACACAAAGATAATTAAAAAAAAACAATGAATTAGTGAATGTTCAATTCTTTTGTTTTTTTTTTCAAAGAAAAAAATGCAGGTATAATAAAATAGCAGTAATAATAATAATAATAATAATACAATGTCGATTGAGTTAATGTTCACATATCAAAATCTATTCGTTTTGTAGTGAATCCACTTGGTCCAACTAAAGTAACTGTACGTGATGAACTTGTTCCAGAAGTGACTGTGAATGGAGATGAATTAGCAACATATGTAGTCGTTGTACTGCCACCACCTGCTGGACGTTTTAAGCCCATTGTTAAATTAGCCATTGATGCACGACGTTCAGCAGAGCTTATCATTAGATTAACATCTTGTAAATCTTTACCAGTACTTCGGCCGACTGTAAAAATGACTTTTTTGGGAGATAGGTTTACTTGTTGTTTAACTGGACTGATGAATATATTACGATTACTGGCTAAACGTCTAAAATTTAAGATAAAAAACTAGTTAGCACGAATTTATGATAATTTTATGAATAGGTGTAGACAGTTGTTACAATAGGTGGTTACTATAGAATCTAAATTATTTCTTACTGTAGTAATGTGACAAGAATCCATTTTGACTGGTTTTAAATGCGATAAATAAGACGTGTGTTTATACATTTTCATATTCCAGCCTTGATTCACTACCAGGTACACAGATTCGTAATATTTGACTTCGGGTCACCAGGTTGTTTTGGACCGAAGTAGGTGGAGCGGATTTCGAATTGCTGACTTAATGGCTAAAAGTTTAACGGCCAAGTCATACCAAAGGACAACTTTATTTGTTAGAATGAATTTTAAGAAATTAGCTTTAGTCAAAATAATTAGTCTAAAGTATAAGGTAAACAAATAACACAGACATGGTTTTTTATTGCAAATTAATAATAAACACTGAGTGTAACAGTCGCCATATAAAAACTCGATACATTTTCATTAGAGCCTGATAAACATAATATCGCACTAACAGTTCAAAAGTTTATGCGATGATAGGAATGTTTCGAATCTTATCTATTCCTTATGATGCCGTCATAGTCTTCTAGTATTGTTTTGAAACCATTAGTTTAGTAAAGACTGGTTATTTCAGTGTACACACATATATGCATAAATAACGAGTGGAATGTGAGCAATTGCTGTTGTACATTATTTATTCACTTACCTAGCTTGTATTATATCTCCCGATGTAGTTGTTGGATCAAGACCTAAATTGAGAGCCGCGGCAGAATTTGAAGCTAAATTGTTTACGAGAATAGGCATTGGGGATAACGATGGATGAAGCGTCCATTGATTCAATACAGTGTTATCATCGGTTGATAATGAATCAGAGCCTAGTGAATGATGTCCTGTTCGACAATTAGGATCTGTTTCATTATATGTAGAACGTACAGATGCTGCCTTTTTAATGAAGTCTTTCATTTGTGGTAAAAATATAACATTGTAAAATCGAGACAAATCACCGCGTTCTTCAGTATTGCCACGACCATAAGAAACTCTGTTGATGAGTACACGACGATATATATCTCGATAAGATTGAGGTTGCATTCTATACACCTGTAAATTCGATTAGAAATTTGGTTATTATGATTTTATACCTACACAGTGTCCTCCAATCCTTTAAGACTATTGAATCAACTTCATACTAACAATTATCTAAATAGTCGATAATAATATAACCTAGTAATGCAGCGAATTATTTATGTGTAAATTTTCATGAGCTTGATTTGTTACATAATGATTGTGGTATTACTGTTCTGGTCTAGGACAGATGAAGTTGATATGCTTTGCACTTAATCAACTACTAAACGATTAGTGCGAAATCTCAAGACATGTGAAAGGAAATTTCTTTAAATGTTTGTAACACTATCCTACCGTAAAAAGGATTATTCTTTTGCATGTCATTTTCAGACGATATTGGGACTGGGCAATAAGAGAAAACCAAAGATTATGTACCAAGAAGTAGATTCGAAACAGAATTTAGATTGAAAACACGTGATTTCATAAATAATTTTAATAATAAGCCTCTGTTTTACCTCTTGAGCCACACTTTTTCATGAAGATTGGGAATGTAACACACCACCACCTTAAGGAGGAGAATATAGGATGCGAGTTCCAACCTACCATTTAATGTCGGGAAACTGTCTAGTATCTACAATAGTGATGCATATGGAAAAACGGAACTTGTTTCTCATCTACCAACCTTGTATTCTGAACATCTGTACTTTAATTGGAATCATAAACTGATCTAAGTTGAACCACCTATGAAAACCCGGAAGCACTGGGCGACCGTCTCGTTCTAGTTGGGGACTCTTATGTAGTGGACATTCACGATCCATCACGCGGGAACGCTTACTAAACATCTAGACCAGTGAGCTGGCATCAAACAATGTTAGTGTCTAACAACAATCAACGCACGACATTGTGCAACTATCTTCCAATGATGGTCTAACCTAGGTTGGTTAATTATTTCAACAATCTCTACAACCCCATACTTAACATTTGTAGTCCGTTAATTAAATTCGTTTATCATTAGCATCATAAAAGATAACTTATAACAATCTTCAAGAAATCTAGGAAAAAACAACTTTGAACCACTTACCTGAACTATATCAACAAATGTAAGCGGACGATAGAGAACAAGTTTGCATATACCATAAATGCAACACATTATAACTTGGTCTATACAGCGATCTCTAAGCAATTCAGTTTCATGCACAATTACTTGTTCTATACATGTCCAGATTTTTGCCATAAGTTCACGAGTAAGACTTAAACGTTCGCATAAATCTCTTAAACGTAAACTGGCCATTTGATATGTTTGTCGAAAAAATATGGCAATTGAATCATGTCGAATAGGGAAATAATTAATTGTATTGCCGGAACCAGGCGTTAGAGATGTAACAACAGTACTATTATTACTACTATTAACGGTGGTAGTAGCACTAGTCACAGTAACTGCGGTGTTAACAATATAATCATCAACTAACTGCTCTGTTATCGGTTTCACATCAATATTCACATTATCCTGATTGATGCCAACATCATCTGATGTTCCAAGAAGACCAGAATCTATATTAACTGAATCAGTAGCTCCACTTGCAAGTAGTTGAGCTGCTGCTTGAGCAGATTCATCTTCAACTCCCGATGAAAGTAGCCGATAGATACCAGGTTGATTTGTTGAAAATTCAATGTTTTGTTGTCGACTAACTGATACTTTAGATGTAATACTATTACTGTTATTATTACTATTGTTACTACCTGTAAGACGAGGTTGTTTAGCATAAGAATTTGGTGAGAGTTTTATATTTTTGGTAGATATTACATTAGAAGTTAACAATTTTCGGCCAGGAGATATGGTAGTAGTATTTCGTGTGTAACAATCGTTAGAACCCTATGTAATAAAGAGAAAATTAAGCAATATGAGAGAAAGTAACCAAAATATCAACGAGCAATAATATTAATAATTATCATATACGGGTTTATGTAATCAGCATTGAGTTACAACTAAATTGTACGACGGTTAATGATATTTGACTAATCTAGTATTAAAGTAGGAGAGGCAAAGCTTGAACCCGTGACCTGCTACTGCTGGTTGAGTGTTGATTGAGCGCTTTAACTACTAAGCCACTTTCACAAAAGTCCAAAAAACTACGTATAATTCAAGTTATTTAAATGAGAATGTTTAGCCGTCGTAAGATATTTTATGAATTATTATGACTAGACTAGTTGAGTCGAATCGAAATATATACTCACCCTCAGGAGACGTAATATCCCCCCAATAAAAAAACAACTTACACAAAACCAACCTACATCAGTAACTGCTTTGAACTAATCCCTAACTAATAAAATAATTTCATTTCCTGTTCCAACCAACGACGTTACAGAGAGAAAAACTTGAATAAACTATTTAGTTTGAGTTTTATAACACCTAATTTACTGGTACGCGTGTAATTTAAATGTCTGAACTAATCATTAATAAAAAAATTGTTTGGTGATTCTAGGCATATCTTTGAAAAATATTCTAATACACAACTTGAAGTTCCAAAGAATTCAACAGAATAAATAGTATGAAATGATAATAAATAATTATAGTTTCTGGATAGAAAATGAAAATTATATATACATGAATATTTGTGCTTTAAACTTATTGGAATTTTCAAAAACAGGGAAAAAGGACGCAAATCAACCCTGTTTAGCAGAATTTAGTACGAATTGATCAGAACCACTACAATAAATCATCTCTACAGTCAGAAGTAGGAAACTTTTTGAAGATGTAGTATTAATAAATTTCACTTGAAACAAATCCAGTGAGACTACAATTTATGATCGACCTTTGAGCAACGCTAAAAAGACCTTGAGAATATCTACCTACATACTACGGCTAAATGAGGGTTATAAACCAGTATGAAGAATTAGGATTATGATTTACAGTTGAGTTGGGGTTAGAAATTAGGATTTAGGGTTTTCATCACGAATTGACATCAGATATAATGCCAAGATGCTATTTAGCTAAATGGATGAATGAATTTCGCGCCAAAAATTCGAGATCTGTCATCGTAAATCTGATTGGTCCGTCCATAAATGGTGGTCTCGCCAGAAATCCTTTTTACAACTTACTTATACATTTTTTTGAAATAGACCAAAAAGAATAAATAAAACGAAAAAAAGGTATTGGTAAAATTACATGAAATAATTTTTGCGGTTGGATACATAGAATGAACACACGAAAACAATAAGATTCTCATGGGAGTAAGTTGAAAGTCAAACGAACAGACACATTGAATAGTATAAGGCACAAATTATGTGTGAGAGTTAATAATACTGTTCAGTTGCCCAAAGTGAAGTAAATGGAGTGAGGTTTGAACCCGAAACTTAGTAATTGAAAGTGAAACGTTTTAATTACTAGACCACTGTTCTACACACATATTGCCTTATAATAATTATAAATTTATCGTAATATCAAATGAATATTTTTCTTACTTGATCAAGTTTTTCAGGAGGTATAACTTCTTCAATAGATGGAGCTCGTCCGGTTGCTTTCAGTACCGACCATATTGAAGAGTTTGTACGCCATGCATATGAATCTAGAATATATTCGACAACTTGATTCATATATTTAACAATTTCACGCGGCAAATCTAGGTTACGAACTAAAACTTCGACGACCTGTTAAAGAAAAAAAACATTCTCATCGTTAAGTTAGATAAGAGATGAACGGTAACAATTGGTGTCCTTAAAAAAACTGTTAGAAAAAAATCGAGTAAAATTGAAGATATGTCAGAAGAGCATGAAATCAGATTGTAAGGAGCTATACTACTTATTTTACTCACTAATTACAGTCAGCTACAACGTGGGACCAGGCACATATATGCATCGGTCCAAGTTGCCATACCTCACTAACACAACAAGATGGACACCGGATTGATAAAAAAAGTTAATTCAGAGGTGGTAATATATAAAAGAAAGATTGTACATAAGGATATAGTACAGGAAGAAAGAATTAGTTCGTAGAAAGAAAAATATGAAGCGATTTTAATCTCTTAGTTTAAGGGAAGACAGAGAATGTATACACCGACGCCATTGTGACCGATTCTGAGCCATGTCACCAAGAGTCTCCAACCATTGGTTACGATAGTCACGCGGACCCCAACCAAGTAGTCTGCATCTACCAACATGGCTCACACTAGAAGTTAGTGACTTCAAGCACTGATGCCACGTTTTGGTTTGGCCGCCCCTAACTTTCTTCCAACCATTTCCAATACCGGATAGCATTGCACGTCGTGGTAATCGGTGTTCGGGCATACGTAACACGTGGCCCAACCATCTCAGTCGATGAAGATTCATAACCTCATCAACAGATTTACCATCATTCCCTAATACCCCGCGTCTAACCTCACTATTACTTACCCGGTGATCCCAGCAGACGCCAGCAATATTTCTAAAGCATCTGTGGTCAAATACTAATAGCTTACGAGTGTCTTCTACTCTTAATGGCCATGTTTCGCAGCCGTAAAGTAAAACAGAACGGACTGCCGCGCAGTATACTCGTCTTTTTATTGATAGACGGATATCTCGCCTTCGCCATAGGTGACGTAAGTTGGCAAAAGCCAATTGAGCTTTTCGAATCCGTGCTGAGATGTCGTCCGATACCAAATCATTAGGGCTGATCAGACTTCCAAGATAAGTGAAGTTGTCAACGCGTTCGACTACTTCACTCCCTGTCCTTAGTTCAGGTGTTAACGCAGACCAGTCTTGAAGCAATAACTTGCATTTAGAGGGAGAGAAGCGCATTCCAAACATTCTGGCATTGTTGCTCAGTGCTACCAGAAGACTCTGCATTCTATCAGCGTCTTCACCAAACAGGACTATGTCATCTGCGTATTCTTAGTCGATAAGTGGACCTCCTGGTAGGAGATCAATGCCCGAGAATTCAGTCGACGAGAATGTTATTTCCATCAGTAGGTCTATGATGAAGTTAAACAGAAATGGAGAAAGTGGACAGCCTTGACGGACACCACTTGAGCTTGCAAAAGTAGGTGACAGTTCGCCATAAGCCCTGACTCGACTTGTAGTATTCGAGTAAAGAGCCTTTACAAGGTTTATGTACTTCTGGGGTACGCCTTTCAATGACAGACACTGCCACAGAATCTCGCGGTCTACAGAGTCAAATGCTGCTTTTAAGTCAAGAAAGACCACCATTGTCTATGCCTATGTTATAGAACCTGACGAATGGTGAATATGTGGTCGATGCAGCCACGACCAGGTCTGAAGCCAGCTTGGTTCTCTCGTGTTTGCAGTTCACGAGTCTTAGTTGGGCGTCTGGTAATTATCGAGGCTAGTATTTTAGATATTATATTAGTTAAACTAATCCCTCTATGGTTGTCACAGGATGATTTTAACCCCCTCCTATATATTGGGACGATAAGTGATTGTCCCATTCACACTGTCTGGGAATGGAGGGTAGTTATACAGTAGCTGAATGCCAGCTGAACTGTTCTCTGAGATGTTCCGCCCATCGTTCTAAACGTCTGGACTGAGAGCAGATGAGAGTATCGTCTTTTTCCGAAATAATCTCACTTACACTTGACTTATTAATTCCAGTTTCTTTTATTAGTCTGTAAAGCTGTCTTGTATTCCCTATAGTCGCCGCCTTTTCCATCTCTTTTGCTTTCGTTGCCCACCACTGCTCACGGTCGTTCCTTAGACGTTTTCTTAACCTAGATCTGATTTGTTTACGCTCTTCATCATGTTCAGAACCTGATGGGACGAGTTTGCGAGAATCCATCAGTGTGATAGACCTTGAAGAAATCCACTGGTTCTTTGTAACTCTGTGGTTTAAGTCACTAATAGATGTTACTGCTGTTTCCACAGCTGTTTGTATATCTTTCCAAGCAGCATCTGGGTCAGCCTCGTTTTCAGAACTACCTAAGTGTGACCTCAGTTGTTCCTGGAACCTACTTTTGTTTTTCTCGTTACTCAACTCAGTTCTAATGGGTCTTTTTACTGTGGCTTTTTTGCGTCCAGTGAGGCGCAAGCAGATGCGTGCCCGTATTAGGGCGTGGTCGGAGTCCAAGCAGGTACTCCAGAATGAGCGACAATCTTGTACCGACCCTCTCCAACGATGACTGATGGCAATATGGTCTATTTGAGTCCATCGTTGGTTTGGTGTAGGGGGTCGCCATGTTAGACGATGTCTCTCCTTATGCTTAAAATGTGTTTGCTAAAAATAAACAATTGTCTGAGCACAGTTGCAGCAGACGATCACCATTATCTGTTCGTTGCGCCGGAATACTAAAATACCCACCTAAATGCCTTTCTGTTTGGTTTAAACTACCTATCTGGGCATTAAAGTCACCTGCTACGAGTACTGTCTGAACGTTTAGCTTTCTGAAGAAGTTCAGATAGCTTTCTGTAAAATTCATCTTTCACTTCATCTGAGCTGTAGTCAGTGGGAGCGTAGGCAGAAACGACAAAAAGGCAACGACGTGTGTCCCTATCCTTCCGAGCTCTTACGGAGCCAATTAACCGAAGAGCACATAAACGACTGTTAACGGGAATCCACCCTAACAGTGCTTGTTCCGCCCTCATGCTTAGTGCTATCCCTACTCCTGCCAGTCCACGAGAGCTTGTCGTCGGGTCACCAGATACACGGAGGGTGTATCGCGCTGGCTCTCCGTTTTTGCCGAGGTGAGGTCAAGTGAATGACCACACGGGGATCTTGTATGCGTGTTTCCGTGACACAGCATACATCAATGGTACGAGATTCTAGAGTTCTAGCCAAGGAAGCCTGTTGACCGATTTGACATAGGGTGCGTACGTTGAAGGCTCTAATGTGTAGTTTGGAGCGAGGTTTCAGTAGACCTGGGACAATGTTCTGCGCACTAGAATCGTTGACTGTGGTGACACTTGAGGGGGAAGCCGATATAGGAGGAATAATAGGAAGTGAAGACGGAGGTTGATTATGAATAAAGTGGTCTTGAGTGCTGTTAGAGGTATGAGGGCGGTTATCGCTTCCCGGTTGCCCACACCGTGGAAGGGTTGTTCTGGAGGTACCTGAAAAGGAAATTGGATTAGAGGCGGTCTTAGTGACCTGGGAGCGTGACTGCAGTGCCCTAAGGGACAACTGCTTGAGGTCGGTCACACACGACCTTTTTATGGGTAATTTTTGTGTTAGCTCCGTACTTATTGAGACCTTACCGCCGGAGACGGATATCCGTGGGATAAGGCGGGATATGAATTTTTAGGGTAGACCTTTTCTAACCCCACCCCTCCTTGTGGGAAGGCAGCATCGCTGTCATGCTGGTTGTCTGAAGGAAACACCTTACTGCTGTCACACCTCTGTACAGTCAGCAGTACGACTTCGCCTTCGGACCTTGGGTTTGTTGCTTTTAGTCTTACCGCTCTTCAACCGACCTGTCTGGCATGGTGGGACCTTGAGGAACGGCCAGTAGTATACATCGGTGGCTTCATCACGATACGCAAGCCCGACCACTACGTCAAGGTAGCAACAACGGTCGGGACTCACTAATTACACCGTTTTAGGATCCTCAGTCATCACTAAAGTTGTCGGTTATTTGAATTATTCTCTAATATACCATCTAACATTCCTATCTGAAAGTTTATATTATTGCCCAATCAGCTTTTGTAATAAGGTTTCATCACCAACAACTATATTTTTTTATAGGACAATCTTATCATAAATCTAAATAATTATCGAACACGAATGCTTTGCTATTGTTTTTCCTTGCTATATAAAGTGCACGGAGGACAGTTGAAAGATACATTCCAAGTGAGGACCGGAGTCAGACAAAGCTGCTTACTCTACCTCTTTCTCTTTTTTCTGGTGGTTGACTGGATTATGAGGACCTGGACATCTGAGAGGAAGCACGGAATACAAGGGATAGCTTAGATGTAAATAAACGATACAAATCAACAAATGTAGGTCAAACAGCTGGTGTAGCAACAAGCCTCCATATACACAAGGGAAAAACACACGGAACACCAATCCACTCTCACTTGATGGAGAAATTCTGGGAGATGCGGGAACATTCAAGTACATGGGTAGCAGAACCATCGATAAACAGGGAGAATCTGATGCAGACGTAAAGGCAAAGAATGGTAAAGTAAAGGCAGCATTCAGACAAATGAAGAACATGTGGAACTCAAAACAACTGTCAACCAATATCAAAGTCACAATCTTCAATGCGAACGTCAAGGTTGTTCTACTGTACGGAGATGAAACTTCGAGAACTACAACAACCATCATCAAAAAGTACAAGTATTTATAAACAAATGTCTACGTAAGATACTTAATGACTGTTGACCTGATATCATCAGGAACAGTTTACTGTAGGAGAGAACAAACCAGCTGAGTTGGAAATTAGGAAAAGACGTTAGAAGTATATAGGACACACAGTAGGAGATCGCCAAACTGCATCACGAGGTAAGCCATAACTTGGAATCCTGAAGAGAAACGGAAAGGAGAAGGACCAGACAACACACTGCGTCGGGAATCGGAAGCAGACATGAAAAGGATTGTCCAGGACAGAGTTGGATAAAGAATGCTAGTGGGTGGCCTATGTTGCTCCATGAGGAGTAACAGGTGTAAGTAATTGTATGCAGTCGTTGTGTAAATTTTTTAATTACTTTGTATTTAGATGCTTTTACTGTTTATCATCTTCGTGGTTGGTTTGAATAGGTATCCGTAGTACATTTGTAGTGACGAGAACTCAGGTGGGGAAGACCGATTTATTATTCAATGCAAAATCACATAGTGGATTAGTAAGATGTGAAAATCATACATTAAATACATCATGTGCACATATTACTTCAGTTGTCTTTTACATACTTCATGATTCTTTCAATTCTGTTATTACAATCGCTCTCTATTTTCCTTCCTTTTCTCTTCAATTCAATCCTCTAAATATTCTGTTGACAGGCATTCCGCTTCCGGCTGGTGCTACATACTAATTATATCCGCCAACATAAGTAGGATACACCGCACATCAAGTGATTGGAAAAAAATTGTCAAAGGTGTTCCTTTTAATGAACTTAATTGATAACCTACTGGATTATTTAAGAGACTTTTAAAAAAGAAAACTAGTTATATAGTAAAAATTAATAAAACAAAATGTTTCTCCTAAAATACATAAAATATTGATGATGCTTACTTTAAAGAATTGAACTGAATCAAGACTTAACGCTTCTAATATCCATGGAAAATGGTGGTTTGGTGGATCACAACTCACCATAACTATTTCCATACAACAAATGAATAAAGCCCGATGAAATGTATCTTGTGCTAATAATGTGGTAAGGTCAGGATGGGTACGGCGTGTTTTATTTGAATTATTTGAACTGGAGAGTGGAGTGGGAGTAGTAGTAACCAGTTTCTTTTCGATTCTACGAATTTCATCTAAGAGAATATTTTCTAAAGCCATGTAATATAATGGATAACATAATTGTAGTCGTTGTTGTGCAGCTGAAATTGCTAAATTATTCGCTGTTGGTGTTATTGTTACTCCACTACTATTGATTGATTTTAATCCAGCATAAGCTCGTTGAAATTGTTCACCTAAATTATCTAATCTTTCACGAATTGTAGAGAGTGGTGATACAGAACAATGTGCATTGATAAGATGGACTAAAGATTCACATGGCTCATTGTTTCGACCATTTAACAAAATCTGTACAGAGAAAAAATTATTAAAAATAATATTTGTTTGATTGCATGAACGCTTTTGTTGATAAAAGTGAAACAAGAAATTCCACTGCTGTGCAATGCGTATAAGCGAACAAACACTATTGATATATAAATAGTACATAGGCATGTTTTATAAAAAAAACGTCGATATTGTCGACCCAGGTTGAAAATTGCCTAAAAAACAAGACAACTTAAGTAGCATGCATAATGCACCTTTTTAGATTACGACAAGATAATTAATACTCATTTGATAATACACCTTTATTTGTAGCTTTATATATAAATTACAGAAGACTGGGTTTTGTTTGCTGGTCACTGATAAGTGCGATTAGTTTAAGCTTATAAACCTCATTGGTTCGTAACTGCATGCGAAAATACAGATCAGCAATTTGTGACCTGCAAGGAAAAAAGTTGATCTGTCGTCATCTGTTTTATGTTATGTTTTTACAGTCCTACATACGTTTCGACAAAAAACTATGCAACTGTCCAAACAAGTATACAAGTTTATGCACCGGGTTGCAGTGTTAACAATACCACTAACCAGTTGCTTGAGCTACCAAAATTGCAACAAGACCAATGATTAACTTCCAAAGCCCTCCGTTTATGGAAACAAATTTGAGAGTTTATGCATTATTATATGATTATACTACTCATAAGTAACTAATACTATATATAGTTCTTTTTAATACCGATTTCCCATTAACCACTTAATGCATATTGTTTTCTCAAATTTAGACAAGAACAACAGTGCTTGCATAGCTACTAGTACAATGACTTGTTGAGACTTCATCAGTGTCTTTGAATCCATATTTTATTATATATTTGCATTCGGAACAATGTGCCGTTCTCTGATAGGCAAGTAATTCTTTAAGAAAACGAAGGCTGATTGTGAGATACGAACACACTACTCAGATATGCAGTCCAAGATGTTAACATGATACCATCCGAGTCCCGTCTGGTTTCCTGTAAGACCGAGATACTTGCAATTGTCTGATTATTGAGTAGTGACTACTGTCAAACTAAATACAACTTTCTAGAAGAGGAATGGATAAAAAATAAATTTGAACAGAAGTTGACGAACTATAAAACACTAATATTTATATTAGGATAAGTAATTAAGGCAACTTTATTTCTAAAAATACTATGGTTTAACGCCTTTGGAGCTTAAGAGCTCTTGTTCATGAAAGTGAAACTATACATACCCTTGTAAAAATTCTAAATGTAAACTCTAGGATATATATACATCGGTTTAAGCTGCCATACACCATTAGCAGTGAAATGTAACAATGGTAGCAGTAGTAACGATGTTAGCGTTAGTGGAAAAGATTAGAAACAAAAGATTCACCTCGAGTGACCTATAGCATTACAAACTATTCTGAGCTACATCACACAATTTCTAACTACTATCTACAATAACCATGTAGACCTCAACTAGATTTTCTGGATCTATTAGAGTGGCTCAGACTAATAATCAATAACTTCGTGGACTGATGCCACGTCTCGGATTGTCTGTTCCAAACCTTCTTCTAACGTACTCCTACAGCAACAGATGATCCTTCGAGATAGGCGATGGTTGGATATAAGTAAAACATCACGACCACCTCGCAGTAGATGGAGACCCACTACATCATTAATCAATCTGCCATTAGCATCACTCACTCTGTGATCCTAACATACACGAGAAATTTTTCAGACACTAGTAATATAAGACTATCCTCTACTTTCAAGAGCCAAACATAATAGCCATAAAATAAAACAGAGGGGACTTCTAGTCAGGAAAATTGTCGTCTAATTGATAGACAAAATAAAATACAAGAATGTCTCAGTTTATGATTATTATAAGCCAAACGAACTTGTAATTGATTGAGATTTTGACTTCGAGCTTCAGGATTGCTAAAATTGACACCTCCATTAAGACGACTGATAGCACCAGCATTCGCATTACCACGCCGCGTAGTCTCAGTGAAACCTCCAAAACCAGAGTTACTAACTTCCTTAGAACACAACGGAAAAATATAAAAAACGAGTTAAAAATCATTATTTTATGAATTAAAATCAGTAAACGTGAATAAAAGGTAGCATAATGAGAACAAATAGTTAAGTAATTTAGAGGAAACAGAACGTCTGAGAAATAGAAAGCATTCGCTACCGTATTACAATTGATATGCTTAAACAAGTTTCCGTAAAAGTGCTATTTCAATCCTATTTAGAATGAAACATCATGTTTATAAATTTGAATCAACTAGCTAGTTTTAAAAAGCAAATCAAATGAATATCTTTAGTTTTATCTGCACTAATTTTCACTTAACAATATGATATCATATGGATATTTAGTTCAGTTGGAAAATGCTTGCCATAAATATCATACAAAGCATACTACGCTGTTCAACAGAAGTAGAGATGATATCAGATGTAAAAAAAGGTAATCAACTTTTGAAATGAGACGTTACATAATTAAGCTAAATCAATACTCACAAGTGAGCATTGACTACGTCAAGACCTCTGTGGTAGGAAATAATAATTTAACAAACTGGTACGCCGATAGGCTTATAAAATGTTAAATGACTAACTTCATTTGTAAATTTCAAATTCTGACATTCATGAACTTCAACCAGTATAGTACTTCATGGGCGTTGTACGTTAATTTGAAATGTATTGAGTTATATAAAATAGATGGAATGTTGTTAGCAGTGGAACTTGTGTCATAATGGCTATACTGAGGCAATCTGCAAAGAATGCTCATATACCTATCAGGACTAACCAAATTTCAGTCAAGAATATTAACAACGGGATAATCCAAACCACTTCAAAGTAAATTAATTATTGGTTTATGATTATGACGAATAAGCGTCAGAAATTGATCAAATATACAAGTTCAGTAGCAATTAAAATATATCATAAGAATGAAAACTATTACAACAAAGTGAAAAATTAAATCCTATAGATATAATGTAAGTTATAAGCAGGAGTTATGAGTCAGAGTAACAAATATTTTCGTTATCATCGAAGTAATCCGCTCAGGATGCGTATATACTAACAGGGACTGGCCCTTTATGTCAAAAAAAGAAAAAAAATCAGACCTTTACATAATTAAAACATTGAAATGTTAAACTAGAGGCATACTAAGAATGAACGAGTCAAAAAATAAATAACTTGCGAGCATATATCGGCGCGCAGATGGTGTCAGACCGACAGGTAGATGAAAATCAGACTGAACAGTACTTTCCCCGATTGATCCAATTTCTTCTGATGCATTCGGGCTCAGATAAATACGTTCATCAAAGTCCCCCGTACCGATAATGTATTCCTCATAGTTATTGTTCAAATTTTGAATTGTTATTTCGAAATTTTCCTGTTCTAATAAACTCCCAAGAACTGAAGGGTGAAGTTTGATCAAATCCTTAAAAAAATATCGCAAACGCTTGCATTTATTGTACAACACATTTTGAAAACATATTTCTAGGACTAAACAGTAGACATGAAAACGTTACGCAAATGAAATGGCAGATTAGATATTTTCACTCAAGTGAGAGGCTACTTGGATCTTTAAAAAAAATGAAACAAGTAAATAATTTGCGCTCAGAATGTAGGACCTGTATAAACTGTTCCATGGAAATGACAATTATCAAACAAACTATAGAGAGTCTAACAATTTACAAATATGCACCGTTCAAACAATTCCAATTGACGTTCTTGAATCATTATGTGATCAACGTACGTGAAAGTAATGACAATCCACTTATAATTAGGAAGTGAATATTCCGTATAACATAGTATGTAGGAATTTTTTCTTGAAAATACCATTTATTTTTGTATTTAACTTTCTTTAGCAAAGCCCATCAAAAGCTACCATATATTTTTCGTTTCCTTACAATGAATCAACCAGTCGGTTAATCATGGGCAAAGTAGGAAGTGGGGCAGTTTGACTTGACACACTATCAGCAGAGTGAGATGAAATTGTCAAGACAAATGCCAGAGTATTAATGGGAGTAGAAACACTAGTCATCGACAGTATGGTTCGGGAATGAACTAGTGGGATAAAAAGTATAAGAGTTTCAAAGCACAAGATCTAAGGGACGATATAGAGTGTATGCATCTGTCCCCCATTCAACATCTCCAAACACTGGTTGCTATTATTTTATGGACTCCAACACACCTATTCATTTAAACATACAAACATTGGTATAAAATGGCACCAAATAGATATGCGCCACATAAATCATGCGATTTGTGTGAGGGCTGGGATACTACTTGGGCGCCCAAACCGAAGCAGGTGGTCTTCTTAGCGGGATCACACCCGGAGCCTTTGATATAAAGGTCTAGTCCACAAGGCAGTGGAGCAACGTAAAAAGATGCAGTCTCATGGTAGCCAGTGACCACCAACCTGGTTGAAGCGCTGGACTTTCGGTTTTCATCCTCTCAATTTCGTAAACAACACCCTTACCACGAGAAAGCAGTGAGTAGGACTTTTCTGGCAGTGACTGTATACTCGTGAACTTACGAGAGCACTTCAAGAGAGAGCGAACTCTCCTTACCCTCGACCGTACCAGGGCATTTTGGGGCCTAACTAGATAGTCTACACTTGTCCGTATGGTTTGACCATCGAGGTAGGCGATGGCTGGGTATACACAGGACATAATACTTCTCAAATGAAAAATAGCATTTTAAAATCAAATTTTGCCTAGTTTACTATCAGAAAATTTGCAATGCACAACTGTAAGTTTAATTTGATGAATTATTTAGTATAGCATCAAAATTTACGACTTTCGCTCAAAGAAAAGAAAACCACTGAATATAACCTTCAGAGTTGTAAATTTCAAAATCCATACTCGATGTACATTCACGATATACTTAGTAAACTACATAAGTCCGAAATCTTTTAGTAATATAACATATAACAAAAGTATTTATATTATTCAATACAATTAGGTGGCTGTTATTTTTGCACATCAAGCTATATGATGTATTAGTAACTGAAAATACTTTTATCTTTGAAATATTATATCACACGGCAAGTCCAGCCTGAGCTAAATACATTTGCAATCGCTTAAATATTTAACTGTACTCAAAATTGATTCTCTGAAATAGGTATGCACTAAAGCATAACTTCTGAGATAAATAATACTAACCTTTTCAATCAACCTTAGCATAAATGGTCGAAAAAAGTGTTCTTTCACAGTTTTACACTCAACATAATTAACATCATTATCTTCGCATATTGGACGTAGCATACAAGTTGGCTCATCATGAGGTGGACACCAAGTTTTGTTTTGAGCAACTGAAGTTAAAAAATCCCTAGGCAAACCATTTTGCTCCATATTGATCAAATCTCGTCTTCTGGAAAGCATAACTGCACCAAGAGTCCAGTCCAAACAGCAGGCTAGTAAGTGATAGGAATTGACTAAATCATCGGTAACTGCTGGAAAACTTGCTCGAGACTTGATGAATAGCAGCCATGTAAACCTGAATAAGTCAGAACCCGTTGGGCGCACTGAAATGATAAAAACAGAAAAGAATCGGCACAAGTAAACAATTGTTCATGTACAACTTAAACATTCAAGGCCATTAAATGAGTTCTCCATAATGCATACTGATGGGTGCATTAGTTAAAGTTGGTATATAACACAAACAACGTAGTGACAAATCAATAGAAAGAGAAATTTGTAAAAAGACGGCGATATTAACAAGGGAAACGATAGAGAGAAACAAGTTGAGATCATGAAAAAAGCAGAAAGTAATATATAAAACGCAGCACAATAAAGTGATTTAAGTCTACGAAATAGAACTACATCGCCTACTGTACAGAAATTCCCAACATTTGAACAATAAATTAAATGATTTACTGATAAGTCAATTTAGAGAAGTAAAATATTTGAAGTGATAAGTAGATGTTTGACGAGGATGTTCGTCGTTAATACTTCTAAATAACATAACCATGATGATCAGGATGATAACTTTAGCCCCAACTTCACTCGTGCCTATGTTACGAATCTTGTGATTAGTCGAGAAAACAGATGATCAAGTCCCACTAGACGATGGTGAAGATTTAGATGAAATTTCGGTTATGCTGAGGGGAATTAAGGACGCTAAATTTTGCGGATGCTTAAACTCTGCTCTGATATGATCTGTTTTGCAAATAGGTGTGCAAAGTGGAATCGTTGAGCGTACAATACTAGAAGTAAGACGAAAGAGATTGTAAACTTGTGACGAGGTGACTAAGTCATGGTTTACTTAGTGTTGCTTTTATCAAATAACCGTATTATTTGAAAGATGAAGTACAATTACGTGGCCCAAGAGCAACATGGTCAGATTAAGACGTAGAATTTATAAGGTCACAGATTGTTTATTAGAAGCATTTAATGTGCAAACCTTTTCAAAGGAAGTCTTTGAAATGACTGTATGAAGATAAAAGTATTATATATATACATATATATAGCTGAATGAGTAGTGCAAAGGTTGAATACAGGGGACTCAAGGAAGACAGTAAGCCAGTTGATAAAACCGTGAATATTTATCGGCTGAAGTGGTTAGAACATGCGTTATTGACGCCTAGCCATTCGTAACCTCGACAAATGACGTTGGATGCCGTAAACGTAAGTTGGGGGAAAACTAAGATGTGGAATCAGTTTATGAATTTGCTGGACGGTTTATACAAGATTTCCAAATCAATTATCAGGTTTAGGTAGGTGTTTCAACCCGTTACGAGTATTCTGAAGATATCAGTATGATTTCGTTGGATTAATTTCTTAAGTTTTCTCCCAACATGTAGCCAAAAAACGAACCACAGGTTTCTAATATATGAGGACATTTTAAGTTATACAAACGAAGTGCGAATCTAGGTGAAAGACAACTTACTTTGACTGGTCTCATAATCTGTGTCAGAAAATAATACCCCAAACGATCGACCGAAATTACGAAATATCACCGATGAAACGGAGAACTGACGTTCAATGAGCTCGATGCGATCTCTCATATCATCCAGCATATCAGTCATGTCAGCCCATTTCCTAATACGATGGAAAAACTGTACAGATTAATTAGTAAGAGGAACATACCTGAACCATACTCATTTTGGCTGCAGATAACAATCGTGACAGAGATATATAGGCGTTATCGACATGTCCAGAAATTCCGTCTGATAGACAACGGCGACAACATTCATAGAGAGAACAAACAAGCCACTGGATTTGATCACCATCAATCGAATAATTCGCCCAAACATCTTGTTAAATCAAAACGATTTATCTAGTTACCTTTGTACTTTTCCCAAGCTTCCTCTCTAACAGATCCATCTATACATAAATCTTGACAGAGGTCTTCAAAACGTTTTTCAACCGGCTCTTCGTAGTCGAAATCTAAATTATGCATCACTGAAGCGCGTATTATTAGCGTCTACTTGGAAGCGGAAACGGTCTGAAACAACAACACAACAGTCAAATCGTTAAATGACTCTGTAGTAAGAACGCGACGTACTAGTACAACATATATTTCGAAAATTCAAAGATTTGGATCGGGTACAAAAAAGAGAAAATCTATTACAAAATAGAATTATCTATCGTTCTGCAGGGTCAGCTTAAATATGGCTTCCATTACATTTGCTGCCCTGCAATAAGAAAAACAGACTCACGTTAGTAACCTCATATGTAATGATTCCTAATACTACTAAATCTACTCAAAATGCCGCTTGCGCAAACACAGCTGATGGGTTATAACAAGAATTCAAACTTCGTAGTCTAAGAGATTTAAAACTTTTTTCTTGAATTTTACCTTTTGCTTATAGAGGATAGTTTGAACGGATTATAAGCTTTCGTTTAATCGGCTTCCGTATCTGGTAGATGGAGGTCACCGATACCTTCAGGTAGGAATCAAGGTATAGATAACGACTTTTAAATGTTTGGTAATTTGAAATGCTATACTGTCTTGCGTATTCAAGGATGTGTTAAATTGCGAATGAGCTTCTTCGGTAATTAACTGATATTTCTGTTACTTTTGACATCTAAATCAATAATACTTACATCGTTCTCAGTGATTAAGAAAGTAAACAGTGTTGTTATGTTCTTTTATGTGACCCTACACTATGTGGAGTTACCCGTCGGAACCAATAAAAAATAATTGGGCTAGCTTTTCTTGTTTTATGCCGTCGGTACCAGAGGTGCAATAACATATTTAAGAATTTATTCATCTCCATTTGTAGTGGTTATCCAAAGAGTAACTTCCAAATACCATACACTGCATGACTGTTGTTTGTAGTGGCTTAGTTTCGTTAATCAATCACCTTGACAACTGTTATTATATAAATTATAACGGTGTTTTAAATCAGGAGGCGGATAGCACAGATCACAATGCCACAGGCACCTCGAGCGAATTGGAAGCAGAGAGGTGAGTGTGTGTATGCGAGCAAATAGAGGCGAATTTATAGTCAAATCAAATAAGGGCATAGCAAGGCGAAGTAAAGCCAAATAATAGGATTCTAGTGCATATGTATATGGAGAAGAGAATGACTGATCGGGCTATATTTAAGCTATCAACATTTTAGCTAGAGAGAGATAAGTGCGCTGGCTGTCATATGATCAAGCGTATACGTTTATACGGACGAGATAGTGGTAATATTAGTGCAAAGAAATAAATGAGTTATTATTGTTCGAATAACATTGTTTGTTAAGTAATTTGATAAAAGGGTTTAGGAAAATGTAACTATAATCGAGGCTGATTGCAGGAGAGTTGCTATATGTTTCCATTTTTTCATTCGATGTGTAACTTTATTATGAGTGTTATTTTTACGATCCTTTCAGTCTACATACTTGCACTCCTGCGCACTAAAATTTGCTTCGTATATTATTCCTTGATTTGCATTTTATCTCATCTTGACCAAACTCTCAAACAGGTTCATCACAAGGTCAAAAATGATTTTTTCCAGATAGTTCAACATGTAAAAACAAGGATGGTTGTGAACGGATTAAAAAGTTTCCCGTCTCACTCATCCATCCTGATTATTATTTGATGCACGATAAAAAGCGTTGAGGTTCACTCATATTCGTGTTTCTTATTATGTTATTTGTATTTTATTATCCTATGATGGTAGTGACGTTGCTTTACTTGGTCTCTAATTACACACTTATTTGCCGCTCTTTGGCTACACTTCTATAATATTTCGAATTATTTGAATTCTAGTAAGAACTGAGAATCCCAGAAATAACGCAACTGAATTAAAAAGTAAGACACAAGCACAAACGAATGTATTGTATTTAGAATTCGAAATCAAGCATTCAACAAGTACAAAAGAATCATTAGTTCATTCAAACACCACATCCGCCACAGCTTAAATAGGAGTATAAGTGTTTGTAATCGGTTTTACGTCTTCTCGTTAAGTTCATCCTGAGTCTGTCCGACATTGCATTGGATAAAATCGTTGTAGTACCTAGAATGTGCTCATTAATATTGGAATTAACAGACGAAATCGGAACAGACTCACCTGGAATTGTAAACAATCAGCAAGTCGGTTTTGTACCGGAATCATTAATATCTAGAATTCAAACCATAGATTTTTCAACACTATCCTCCCCCCACGAAGTAATGTTGGATCTTTACATCCCCAAGTTATGAATAATGTGGCTTCATTTAAAACATATTTATCACATTGACTAGAGTAAACATTAGAAGTGTTTTTGTGACAAGGATAAACAGCATTTGATATGAAATCATCCGAATTGTAATGAAAATAGAGGTCATTTAGTACTCGTGCTTTGCATTGAACAAGTTTTTAACAAAGAGCAATTGCATTGTGAGGATAGGTAATATATGATATGACATCAGGATTTGGCTCTTCTGAAATATTTTCATGAAATTTATTAAGAATGCCATTGCACAGTAATGGATCATTAGAAAAGTCAGCATCTATCAAAACTACATCAGGTTTTCGATCATGACTAGGTTCATTCAACATATTTTCCTCAGATATGCAAGGAAATTTGTCAGAAATAAGTGTATCATTAGGAAAAACCATATCTTGTACAATAACATGAGAAATCTGATAAGTCGATTGATTAGAAACTGTTGTCTCATATGGATTATGAGTTTCATTTAACTCTGAACTGCCACATGACTCTACACTGTCTTTTAAAATCGTTGATAAAGATAAATGATGATTGGGAACACTGGACTTAATAGAATCAGAATTACAAGACATAATATTAGTTGCAATAAGATGAACATCAGCATTACAAACTGACTGAATATGTCCAGTATCACCACATTTAAAGCACTTGAAATTACGAAATTTACATGAATTAAAAGATTGGAACTTGCCACAGGACAAACACTGACTAAATTTCTACCCATCTTCGTGAAATGCATTGCAACTCCTCAATGAATTATCTGCATAACCTTGAGTATGCACTGGGTAGGGATGACGTAGTAATGTAGTGGAATTTTTTATATCCTCATGAGTCATTTTACGAGATCTCCCTCCTTTACCGCATTCGAAATTTGTATAATTAACATAGTCTAGCAGCAGTTCCTTGAGAGTTGTATAAGGAAGCAAGATAGGCTTTTCCGGCATAGCCAGAATTCCTAATAAGCTGTACGCTTCTTTTCCAATGAATGTGAGGAAATGTGCCACAATATTAACATCCTCATCATCTTCCTTGGTCATAACCCAGATTTCGAACCTTTCAAAATAATCCTCAAGAGCCTCAGAAGTTGAATGAATATCTAACTTTTCCATCGCAGGCTCCATCGTGACGCCAGTATAATATTTGAATTACTTGAATTCTAGTAAGAACTAAGAATCCCAGAAATAACGCAACTGAATTAAAAAGTAAGACACAAGCACAAACGAATGTATTGTATTTAGAATTCGAAATCAAGCATTCAACAAGTACAAAAGAATCATTAGTTCATTCAAACAGTTTCTAATCAATCGACTTATCAGATTTCTCATGTTATTGTACCAGATATGGTTTTTCCTAATGATACACTTATTTCTGACAAATTTCCTTGCATATCTGAGGAAAATATGTTGAATGAACCTAGTCATGATCGAAAACCTGATGTAGTTTTGATAGATGCTGACTTTTCTGGTGCATCGCAACAAAACTTAAAGACATCTTGTTTGAAAACCCATTCTTCAACTAGAGTTCAGTGGGTGGTATCGTAACTCGTTGGCATTTCTATCAAATACTCTTCTTTACAAACATCAGGCAAGATGGTCCTTAGTTCTTCTGAGTTGGTGATCCATTTATAATAATAATAATAATAATAATTTATTCTCAAATAACAGTTTGTTACATGAGACACGCCAGTTTACAGGCAAGATCAAATTTTTACAAATGATACAATATCCACTGTAGTAAATTACTCAGCTGGATTGATAATTTAAAAGATATGAATGTAGATGGTTTCAGTCAGTATCACAGTTGGCGCGCTTCATGAAAGTTTCGTTGCGAATGTGCAACTGATTGTCAAGGATAGGTCCTTTGAAGGTGGGAGCTTCTAGAAATCGCAACCTTATGTCCCTTTGGAATATCTAAGACTTTAAGGATGGTGCATGATGAAGTCACCCTTTCCATATCTCAAGGGGGCTGAAGGAGGGAGCAAATAAAAGAATCTCCTCTACATAATAATTCACTTGTTTGCTTATCAAACGTCTTTGCCTGTTCACAGGTGGAAAAGTAAATCAAGCAATCATCAACATACAAATTGTTCTTGACAGAATCTATGACATAACAATTATAACCATCAGAGAATGTTTGAACTGTCCTATTCCCAGCGAAGTTCGCACAAAACGGTGACCTGGCACTAAATGAATGAGAGGCCATTTAAAATTACGATGGCTCCCTCGACATGTCATCATCCTCCCACCATATAAATATTAAAGCTCCTCGATCAGACCCAGGAACCTCCACTTGCATGAACATTTCCTCAACATCTGCAGAGATTGCAACCGCCTCCTTGTGAAAACGAAATAATATACACACTAGCTCAACCGTGGTGTCGGGTCCTTGATAATTTATATCATTTAGGGAAACCCCTGTCAACGTAGTGACACAATCAAAGACTACTCTCAGTTCCTCTGGTTTTTTCGGGTTTTTTATTCGATCCTGGCTAAAGGTGTATCTTTTATTGCTTAGTATACTGTTGCATGTTATCAAACTATTGACAATAATGTCGTGTTTAATCAAACTCAGGGTCATGGAGTGGTTTATTGTACGACTACTAACTTTTGGCTGTCTACTTGGAAAGGTTGTCGGAATCTCTACAGACAGATATCTGATCCCATCTTGTTGGTAACAGTTTTATTACTTCTCAGGTATAGAACTCTTGTTTATTAACTGTTCCTTTTGTTGGTTAGCACGTTGGTTTGTGCTAGAGATACCTCTAAATGTATAGCTCAGGTTGTACCGTTTGAGGTATTTTGTAATTTCGATATACCTGATTCTTTTTTAAAAATTTGAACTGTTCGAGTTAAACACAGAGTTTAAACACAAACGACTCATTCAGAAACAATGCGTACGCAATACAGAAGGACGTAGTCTGGCCTAATCGGATAAACTTTGGTTCATTAGTTCTGCGTTCAAACCGAATATTAGTATTTCGTTCGTTACAGCCAATATAAGCAGAAAAATATCATGCTATTGTTTAAATGTTAAAGTTATAAATAAAAAATAATACTAAACTTATTTGGTCTCTTAGAGAAAAGTATGTAGGATTATGGTCTACCTCGATATTAGTATTGCTCTAATTATAGACCTAATCCTAAAATTGTACATTTGTCATGATATAACTACCTAATCTATAAGATCTTACAATGAAGTCACATCATCATCTATACCAACTCATCCCATCGTAACAATTAGCACTATCTGATGGAGGACAAACTTGTAGTGGCATTGGAAAAACTTAGACTAGAGAATGAACAGTATGTTTAATATGAATAA